GCAGAAATCAAGCACCAATCGTGTCGATATTGCTACCGTACCTGGTTCTGGGGCCGTTTTGAGGCGGTTCCAATGGCCCCAAAGCACGAGAAAGGAAACACGACCGGTGACCATGATGCTGCTGATGCTCGCGTATGCCGCGCGCGTGGGGCCACCGTGGGGCGGGGTTGAAGGGCAGGGGGGAGGGAGCGTAGTTTGTATGCCTTACGGCTCACGGTTTAGGGCCTAGGGTTTAGGGTTTTAGGGCTTGCCAAACTGTTGGCAGCATCTTCGGGGCGAGAATCGGAGCGGCGACGGCCATGCCGGCCAGTGCCGCCAGGGCCTACAATATGCGTATGTGTATAAAACCGAACAAACACGAACAAGTACATATACAAGCGTACGTACATACACACACACACACAAATATATATATATATATATATATATATATACATATATACATATAGTTGCATATGTATGCGCATGTTCGAACAGTCAACGTACTCCCACCATCTACGTTCAAAGGGCGGGGTGGGCGGGATCAAAACAATCAGAGGCGAGCGCCTTCGCTGCTCCACCGAACGGCCAAACTGATCCCTAAGTCCCAACCCACGTCGATGATTTAGCAACGTATGTATGTCTACGTGAACATGTATGTATTTCTATATTGTACTGTCGTGTCGTGTGTGCACTGTGAGGTACTGTACAGATGTTGTACTGTATTGGCGTTGGAACTAAACATCCCTCGCACACCTTGCCAGGTGTGTGGGAAAGCGCACTGAGAAGAGCTCTGTGCAGCCGACTCACTCGGGCTGTGAGCCGAAGTCACCAGAGGAGAAGCAGAACAACATCGCCCAACCAAGACATACCAATAGAGCAGAAGGAGGGAACCTCTAGAGATGACTGACGAAAGAAAGGTGTTGACGGCGTATGTCGTGGAGGTACCGGCATATTTTTTGTAAATTCACCATAAACATTGTCGAAGTCTGAGTATGATCAGGAGCACGGGTGTGAGGAGGACAATGGGCGGAGATATGGAGGAGGGAACCGAGTCTGAAATCATGTTAACGTCAAAGGTTTGCAAAAGAAAGTCAAATACACCGTACAACTGCTGCTGCACAGCACGCTTGCCGCCATACTCTGCTTGAACTGCACAAGCTGTGAAATCCTGCCACGCGCTTGATATCCAATGCTGCTCCAGTACGAAGAGGGAAGAAGCTGCGGCATTCAGGATCTTTTCCTTGGTCAAGTCTTGCTGAGAAGTGGCGATGGAGGAAGCAAGACGAAATGTGGCATCACTCATGTATTGTTGCCCATGATTGTGGCATTCCTGCACTTGCTTCATGTTCGTCTCGTTTCTACAGACTGCTGAGGCACATCTTTTCTTCTTGAACAGGTTTTGCGACTTTGCCGTAGAGTTAGTTGGCTTCTCTGCACGCTAAGACTGCGAGATGCAGTGTGTACTTGGACAGCAACTGGGCTGCTGGCTGGCGGTGACCGGAAGACGGTGACCGACTGCAGGAACATTTTCTGGGCGTTGCCTTGCCTTGGGCTGTCTTGCCATGTTGTCAAACCTGCCAATGCCTTCGATGATGTGTGCGTTCTTGGACGCGAACAGCCCGCAGTCTTGGAGGATCATTGGCAATTCTTGCAGAATTCGTCCCAACTGAGCCTTACAACTCATGCAAGATTCACCAGACCCACGAGACCATGCAGGGAGATGACTGGTAAGCACTAAGCCAGTTGTTGGACTTCTCGGGTAGTTACTTGCTCATCAGGCGTTGAAAAGCCTCGGAGGAGCGCAGCAAGCCGACCTTGTCATCTTGCTAGGCCCTGCGAGGCCATCCCAAGCTCCCAGCTCCAAAGCTTCTGGCTGGGAGCCACCTGCAGCAAGACCTCACCAATCGAGTCCCAGAGCTCCTGCAATGCAGGTTAAAACAAAGAGGTTGAACTCCAACAATGCCCCGGCCTCTAGTGCCGGTAGCGTCGGGCTCATCTTGCCAATGCAATGATCGAAGAGGACGGGGTGCTCCCAGAGAAAAAAGGCCTCAGCATCATTTCGTCTATGAAACTTGCGACCGTCATGTGCCTTGATCTTTGGTGCCAAGAGGCATGGCCATCCTGTCTGTGGCCAAAGAAGCTGCGCAGCAGCGCTGAGGTCACCTGGTACCAAACAGCGGTACAAAGCCAGCACCTCTAGTCAAGCCGGAAAGCTCATCCTCCTGGCACCTCAAGCAGGTCGGAAGATGTTGGACGCTTTGGTCCAGGCATCGCCGGGACAGCCTCTTCCTCCCAGATCGAAACATGCATCCCCAAGCGATCATTGGGCACTCCGTGCAGGATTGAAGAAGCGGTGAAGTATCAGTGGAGCATTTGAACGCTGCATGGTACAGAAATCTCCTATCAGGATGGGCCGTGTTGAGGAAGTGTACGCTGGTTCAGCAGTCGCCGACGAGGTCAGATTGCCCAGAAGAAGGGATTAGGTAGCGGGGCAGGAGAAACCAATCCGCTGGAAATAAAAGAAGGCCCCTGTAGACATTTCCCATGCACCGCCACTCATCTCAATGCAACTCAGGGCTCGATATTGTCACACGATCATTTCGACCAGCTCCCTGGATCCCTTTTCTTACTGACGACATTGCGAAACAATGCTGTCCTTCTTCTGCTTTGTCGATGGCACAGCATCACGCAAGGCCTCATGCAAACGGAAGCCCCTGAGGCCCTGAGAACTCAAGGCAAGGCCATCTTCCTTATGCTTCTCTCAGAGGGGCCCGTCGCCAAAGGCCCCCAAGATCTCGACCAAATGAAGCATATTCCTGTGAGAAGGAACAGTCATATCGAGTCATACCTGTCAAGTTCTGTCACAGCTGCCAGACGGCGGCCGACCTCGTTGGCAAAATCCTTAGAGGCGGTGACCTTGCGAAAAGCACACTAGGCTGTCAAGAAGAAGGATGGCTGGCAGCCGGTTGTCCAGGGATCCAGCCAGGTCATCGTGAACGTCCGTGCGTTGCAGCATCAAACGGCCATTTTGTGCTTGCCTTGGTAGTATGCGCGTGAGATCGACACAGCTTGGGAGCTGAGGGCCCGGCAACAGCAACAACGCATCGCTCGCTTTCCTCGGCGTCGCAGTAGAGTCACTGGAGATGGAAACGCCGTCACGCGCTGCGAAACACTTACATGTCGGAGTAACGGCACACTGTCCGATTTGGCAACTAGGAGCTGGGCCGCAGGTCCAACAGAAGTTCATGCGAGAAGCATGCTGATGCAATGTGCCCCTGCGCATGCTGTAAAAGGCAGCTTGCCAACAAGTCAAGTCAAGACTTCATGAATTCAAGTAGGTACGTCCAAGTCCAATTACGTTTCTTTTGTTTGGCAGGGGACTGAGCATGGTGTGCGGCCGGCTTGTGAGTCATGGGATTGTGGATGGCTCAGCTTGCACGAAGTTTGGGCAAGAGCTCATATCGTCATTTTCGCCAGCGAAAGTGTGCATATCTCTCTTGTCTTGGTTGACCTGCTCCCCAGAAAAAAGCTACACGCGGCAGGGGATCTTGGACGAGAAGTCTGTTACCCATCGCTGATTCGATGTTTCCGGACTGGGATGGTGCCATGTTGGGGCCTGCGTGGGTGCACGTCCCGCTCATTCCCTCGTCACAAAGCGAAGGATAAATCTGCAAGGTGATGCAATACGAGCACAAATCTGTCGGAAGAAAAGCTTGATCCGTACTGTCAACGCTTTCAAACAGTTGAACAGATCATAGGAGGATCCACACCAGCACCACCCGCCCAGTTTGCCACGAGCTTCCTTACCAGCACGAGGCACATCCTAACATTCCGATGATACTAGGAGAACGGCGAAGCCTCTTTGAACCTGCGAAAGCTTGAAATTCTACAATGCCTCGATCTGCAAAACGGTTGCCTCCAGCTCGATCAAGGCCTGCAAGCTGCCTGCCTGCTCTCAAAGCCAGCTTCACACGCTTGAAACGACGCATTTGACCGGACAGTCAACTTGACGTCAATTACCGTCTATCTGCTCACTGCTTCCCAGCAAACAGCCAAGAGGCCAGACTGGCCACCTGTCGGGAGCCAAGAGACCTCGGACATGCCGTAACGCAACCAAAAGGAGCCGGAGGTGCCGGAAGAGTCTCTCATTTGCATTGAAGTCCTGCTTCACGACCGCAGACAGCCGAACGTGGCACCTGACAACAAGGGCCTGGCTCTGCACGGCCAGGAACCTGCGTGCTGCAACATCTTGACCATAAACAGGATGACTCGGCTGTCCAGGCCTGTGGCTGGAAGGCACCTTGCAGCCTAAGCCAAATGCGCCAGACCCGCACTTGCGGCATGTAGGCGGGTGCGGCAGGCATGACATCTCTGCACGGTCTCTTGACACTGACACACTCGATTTCAACTTGAGCTGCATGAACCTCTGCTCGCAGGCAAGCTGGGAGCTCGGCATTGTGACGAAGTGACCCGATGCATTGTACAGAACAGCGGCCCCACCCGGACCTGCCGAAGATGTGCTGATATGCTTTCTCACACTTCCCCCTAAACTCCGTGATTGATTCGGTGGCTACAGCGAGAGCTTTAACGCCGGATCGAGTTCGAGTGTTCGAGGAACGTGGCAGGTCGGAACGAAACGAGACCGTCTCAAGCCATGTACATGCTGCCAACGCTGCCAAGAAGCGTTCATCTTTACACTGCAGTCACGCTTGGGTTTTATGCGTGGAAGAGTGAACCCAGAATCTCACAACTTACAACTTTGGCATCTGCTGCCACAAAGAAACCACAAGAAGGATTGCATAATGACAGAATGGTTACTGCAGCAATACTCAGTTTAATCGGTAAGGTCTTTCGAAGCCGGAGCACTGCGTTCGGTTCTTCGTCGTGCATGACTGGCTCCATCCGTGGGTAGGGAAGGGCATGAACGGCTTGCTTTTTCCAGGCTGTGCCTGGTCCAACTTATCTCTCCGAGGCTGCATGAACCCTGTCACCACCTGAACTTGAAGCGATAGTGGTCTTGAGAATTCAGACTTAAGAACGGCCACAAAAGATAGTGGGACGAGGGCTTAGGGGCTATGCCGCGCGTTGCTACTTTCTTCAGTGCTGACGAGGTTTCCGGCCTCAGCGGTGCCAGTGCTAGAATGTCTTGTTACAAGTAGCCTGTTCTTTGTGGATTACCGACAATTCCTGCAAGCTCCTGAAGAGCTAGCTTTCGTGACTTGTGCCGCTCACAAATCACGTTCATCACAACGCTACAAGACGGGATCTTCTTCTGTTCTGAGGGTTTCAGGTAATACGTTGCTTCGCAGGGTTGCGTCGGGCTGCGTTTCTCGAGCGGCCGTCTCCGGAGGTCTGCAACTGAGCATTTAACGCAACGAGAGCTAGCAAAACATGCAGCTTAGCAAGACAAATGGAGTTTCTAAGAAGAAGACAATATCATAAAACGATCTCTTCCAAAAAGCTTGGCTCCGGCCCGCCTGTCATCAGACACTCAGCGTTCTTCACCTCCAAAGTCAGGTGGCATCGGCGGCGGATGTCATAGTTCGACAGCAGTGGGAGGCCTGCAGTTCTGCGGCGGGGGCAAAGCCGTCCGCCGCTCCGACGGCCTGGAACAGTCGGCTCTGTGGAATGTGCGCATAAGCACACATGTGCATGATGCCAGACTTAGGGAGCGGCGATCATGCGCCCCCATGCCTGACACAAGGAGTAGCTGAGCCCAAACGATAGACAGAGAAAACCTGACAAACACGGCTCGTGCACGAGCGAAAAAATCTCGCCTCCGCCCTGGAGTCAACCGATGCCGCTGCCGCAACTGCCTTGTCACCTTCAAGGACAAATCTGGCAGCTGATGATGAGAAGTGCGCAACGACGCTATCGACTCGGGCCGGGGTATTGTCCGTGCAAGCCGAAACCCCCTCAATCCCGGCCTATCTCGAGACCAACTTCAAACTGTTCTGTACTTTACAATCCAAAGAAAATAAAAGTGTCGACTGCACCCTGGCCTGCAACCGGCAAGGTGACGAGACATGCCAACCACACGTGGAGAGCTTGCAAGACTCGGGTGGGCTCCGCCTGGCTGTAGCAAGAGCTGTGCCCCTAAAACTCTCCGGACCTGGGTTCTCTGCCAAGTAGATTCCACATCTGTCGCAAGATGAGCCAGAAATCCTGACAGTGGCAGTGCTGCCTGCCCCCTGCGAGGGCTGCAAGATTCCGCCATGACATCATGGCACGTAAACTGCTACGGGCTTCGGTTGACTAAGCTTCCAGGCTGCAGCTGTTTGAGGCTGTGTGTGAATCAGGCTTAGAAAAGCTGAACTTGGGCCATGCATCTGCGACGGTTTCGCCGCTTCGCTTCATCATATGCCGCTACAACATCAGCGCTGGTCAAATGCCGAGCAGACGCAACATCAAGTGACAGCTCCGTGACGCAAAACCAAAGGAAACTGGAGGTGCACGGCCCTGGACCTGAAGATTTTGTTTCGCCTCCTTCTGTCCCTGGTTCAAGTACCTGGCTTTGCACAGGCACATTCACTCTCAGCAAAATGACCGCTGCCCACCGGCACATTATCGGAAGCAGGCTGCGGGACCTTTGTGTTCGCGCTTGCACGTGTCACCGTCTTTTGCTGGTCAAAGCCTTTGGCTAAACTTGATGAGGTTCTGCCCTTTCCGTCGGTATTCTAGCACACGTAGTTTGTGAAAAGGGGTCTTCACAGTCGCAGAACCTCTCTGGCACTCTCTGGCACTTTCGTTTAAACTCACTCCGAACTGCCCGACTGTAACACTGGATTGACCAGCACTGCCTGCAGTCCACACACCAACCGCCGGAATATACTTTGCAGCAGAAACCTGCTCAAGCCAACATCCAATGCGCTTGCCGATATCGTAGCTTAAAATCTTTATAAGCACACTTTCTGCTGCCCCGGCGACCCGTGCTGCTTCAAACACCTGCTTAAAACTCGTCCCATCATCCGTGATTGGTGGCAGTTCACTGGTCCTTGCAGCTTGGTCGTCAATCGGTTGAACCCAGGCACCAACGTTGCGCTGTCAAGCCTGCTTGACCTCTATGTCAACATCAGACCTTGCATATTCGAGGAAACGCTGCTGTCCACAAGGTAGGATTGTCTTTGCCACGTGCTCAGAGCGGAGCGGCTTTCGGCCGCCTTCAAGCTGAATCAATCGTCGCTGAGCGGCTATCCGCTCGGCCCTTACTCGAAGCTCTTTACGCTGGGACGTGTACAGCGTAGAGAGTAACAAGCAGTGGCGATTTCCATCGACGAGGCCACCACAGCGCCTTCTCCAGAAGCTCCTCTGTTTCTGCTAGACCTAACAGAAGTATGCACTGCAGAAATCCGGGTGTAATCTGTCACGCACGGTGTGAATATCAGACGCAGCATCAAGGTCAGAGGAAGAGACGTCGCTCGGCACCAGCACTTCTTTCTTCGGCTGCCTTTCGGCAAGCATTTTCTGCTGCAAATCGCCTCGGGCAGGACATGGCGGCCGCGTCCAAGTTTAATCGGCACTTTGTGATCAAGGTTCTCACGTGTCGGCCGCAGCAATTCGACGCTGGAGTAGGGAAATTTCTTGCTGATGTTGAGTCACACTCGCCTGAAGCCACCCGGACATCCGGGATCGCGTGCTTGACAGGCATACAAGACATTGCTGCCTCAGCCTCCTTACAGGAAGCTTCGATCTTCGTGCGCTCTTTTGCACAAGCCTGCAGCCAATGTTCAACGGAGTCTCTCTCAACAAAGACGCAGACCGACACACACACCCACACACACACACACACTGGAGTGTTCTGATTGAATGTCGCCGGCTGTGGTCATAGCAGTACAGACCTCAGCAGTTGGGATACCCGTCAGGGCTTAATCTGTTGTCGAAATACTGCGTTTTTGTAGAAGTGGTTAAAGCTTCAGCGAGGACGGTAACAATGTACCGCGAGGATAATGCAGTACATCACGTACCACTGCAGGTACACAATTGGACGTCTCCAGCTGCTTCACCACGAACCATGGGCGTCTTTGTTAGCAGGAGACCCATGGCCGTGCTCCCGCCCCCTGCAAGTTTCATGCCAGATCTTCAGTAGCGCAACATAACACAACTTCGTTCCCCCCGGTGCCGATTCGGGAGTGGTCACACACACAACCGCCTACGGAGAGGCACATTATTACCGAAGTCACCACAGTCAAGCTTGCTGCATTCACCTGTCCAGCTGAAGGCAAGCGTTCCAACAAGTGCTGTTTTGCTGGTCAGGCACCCAGCAACTGTCGTGTCAAAGTTGACTATGATTACGTAAAGCTGTCCAACAAAATAAGACCGGGGAGGGAGACAGGAACGCAGGACGAGAGAACGTTTGGTCGCGAAGGGCACCCAAAACAAAACATCAACCCGCCACCTTCTTCCCGAGCCGCATCTCACGACCAACGATTGGTGAAAGGGTGCACGAGGAGCAGAAAAAGAGATTTTCGAGGAGAACAAATCGGAAAAGGGGTCTGGATACCCCATGCCGGCGAAAAACTGGGAAGCAGAAGACGACGGAACGAAACGAGAAGGACAGGAATCAGACTGCGACGGAAAGGAAACTAAATGAAATGAAAGGCAAGTGGCTTGAGTGATCATGCTGCAAGACAAGACTCTCAGCCCTCTGTCTGTATTTTCTTGACAGAGTCAAGAAATCAAGCGACATGGGTTGGAATGCATACTCATGCAAACCTCATGTGACTGGTGAAAATGTTAACAGCTGGGTCAGGCAGGGTGTAGGGCTCGCCAAGCAATCCCAACAGCGTGCGCTGTCAAACACTGTTAGAACCTCTTGTTCATCGGTTCAACTGCATGCACTGCCCTGTCCGCAGTGACCATGTTGTCCGGGACGGGGCTCATGCATGGAAGAACAAGAGACAACCCCAAAGACAATCGTTCAGTTCACGAATACCGTTGCATATAAGCTAGCTTGCACATATTCGCCGCAATGCCCCGAAACCACCGTAACGCCTGAAAGTAAAGCGCATCGTCATGTTCTGTGCACGGACCTACGACGGAACGGAAACAGCCGAAACAACTGACTTGCCAGTCAAACGAAAAATAAGTGCACAAATGCAGATTGTCGGAGGAAGCTTGGCGGCACAGCAACGAAATTGGCATGTTCCTGCCGTTCCTGCGTGTGGGTCTCAATGATGTTCCGGCTCATTGAAGACTCTACTCAGTCAGTGTCACTTTAGGTAAGCAAGCAACAGCCACACTCTCGCTTGCACCCTGCACATCCCTGCACTCACCCATGTCCCCAAGCCGAAAACCCTGCACAAACTGTGCACAAAAGCAAGTCCAAACCAGACCAAGCCAAGCCACACACACACACACACACCCACACACGCACACACACACATAGACACCCGACCCCTCACAGAAAGCCCTTGATCGGATCACTCCACACGGCGGGAGCACGGAGAGATGGAGATAGATGGAGGCTGGGGTGCAGACATCAGACCCAAAGAGAAGAGTGATGCTTGACCCCATCTTCTTCTTGAAACCACAAGCGTCAAAGTTCACCGCCGAGGCTGCCTCTGCAGACAAGGTAGACTGCTCCAGCTCGGCCTCCCAGGGTGTGTTCTGATTGATGGGGATCTCTTCACCATGCAACAGGAACCTCCAACGAAGCGACTTTCTGCTCAAGACTTTGGCATCGTTCAATGCTGGCCGCTTTCTCGTCCTGCCGGTGAAACATGAAGAAGTGCAAATAAAACCGCTTACACGAAGGCCTCGGAGACCTTCCGCAAAGCCTCTTCCTCAGAGAGTTTGGCCTGCGACCCAGCAAAAAATAGACCGTCAGAGGTGCTCCAAGCTCTCTGAGCTCTCTGAGCTCTCTGAGCTCCTGAAGCTCCGAGTTGAGTTGCACGGCGCTTTCGGACCTGAGAGTCCGCCGAAGAAGTTTCTCGGTGACATGAAGATCAAGCCCTCTAGGCTCGTGGCTGGTGAAGCAAGCTCTGCTTCTCCGCCTCCAGAGCTTCAAGGCTCCGCCGTTGCTCGTCCAGTTTGTTGGCATGTTCCTGGCCAAGCTTGATCTGCGCCTCACAGAACACCCACTTGCAGGCGACTCATCTCACAGTTTCGCTGAACTGCCTCATGGGCGTCAGTCAAGGATTCCAAGTCGGATCTCGGCAAGATGCTTCGTTTGGCAAGCCACATCAAGTCATGGCACTCGGCTGAGCTCGGATCTTTGCTGTGGCAAGCTCCTGTACACACAAAACGTTTCGAGCATCGCATACAGGAGCACTTAAAGAAAGAGCATTGCCAAGAGGGCAAACATTCACCAGAGGACACAGCTTCGTTAATGCACCTCGCCGTAATCGCTGTGTTCACATGAAGGAAGGCCACAAACAGCCCACACCCCTGGACAGTGTGCAAAACTCCCTGTAAGAAGGACTGCCTACAAGGACAGAACGAATGTCATATTCAAGACAATGCAAGTGCAGTATCCTCGTCCCGCAACTCTAGCTTTGATTCCACCTCTTTGCGAGATGCAATCTCCAGATCGAGCCTTGGCAACAAGAGTAAACATGAGCTCTGAAGATCTGCGCAGAAGGATCCGTTAACTCTTAGAGATGGGCTTCTGCCTCATTTCCCTCAGCTCCTCCTGCAGCTGATCCTTCAAAACAGAAGCCACGGCTTCTGCAGTGAAGCGAAAAGCGTTTCGGCTGCCCTCTCCTGGGCTGCTTCGAGCTCCTTGCAGTGTCGCCTCGGTAAGGCGAACTTCAAGCACAAAGAGTGCTGCTCTGTGCTGCTCTGTGCTCTGCCAAATGAAATCGAGGAGCTGGTGCTCGGCCTCCGCGGTCTTGGTAGCCTGCAATCGCAAGGGTCGCAGGCTTCAGACCTCTGGGCACATCTGCGTCCTGCTCCGCAAGGTGGGCACGCTGTTCTGCCTCGCGGCGGGCGCAAACCTGAGGCACGAAAGGGAAGGAGCGCCTAGTCGCCTAGTCGCAAGCTGCGCAGCTGGCCGCACTGTCCGCTTCTTTGAGGGCTTCTTTAACTGCAGCCTCAGCCAATCAACAGGTCGAGCTCCAACACACCTTTGTGCGAAGCTTCGCGCCTCCGCCTCAACCAGTTGCGCTTCCAACTCTTGCTTGACTTCCTTCCGCCCAGCTAGAGGCTGCAGTGTGGAAAATCATACTAGGGTCAATGAAACAGTCCATGAACAGATAGACAACATGAACAATCCCTTCTGAAGCATGCCAACAGTGCTAGGAAACAGATCCATGATAGTGGCCCCAATGGGAGCTTTGAAGAGAAGCAAAGGTCTCTGCAATGCGAGATGCCTGTTTCCACAAATGCAGCGAGCATCCTAAAAGCCAGTCGGACGAGAATCTAAGTAGTTCTGAGAACACTCCTTGAGAGACATCCAACCCGCTGCCGACCCATCGGGACCTATCCGTCTTGCCTCGAGGATTCAAGAAGAAGCATGGGGATTACCACCCAGCCCGTTCTGATCACTACACTGCCCAATTGGAATATTATTTTGCGAAACTCCGCCGCGACATTCGACAACTCACTTCATGCCGACAGCATGCTCCGCCTTGACTGTGCTGTCTTTCTCGGCTTCAATCTCGGATATGCGCACCCGCAGACTCTGAAGGCGCTCCTGCAGAAAGTCCGCGACATCTTACGTAGCCGAAGCATTCCACAGGAGTAGGTCAGACCAAGGCCAAAGACCGAAGGCAAGCCAGGCAAGACAACGGGGCTACATGGTTCCTACTGTAGCAGATCCGTCCTCTGCTTCTTGCTCCTGGACATGACACAGAACACGCAAATCACACAGAGCGGAGACTCTCCAATGTCACTGCCAGACTTTTGCCCAGTCTGTAGGCTCCTCTTGCTCACTCCGTGGACTCAGCATTAACGGAACAACGTCCGAGCCTGAAGCAAACGAGCACAAGAGTCCCCCGTGAAGGGAATGTGAGCGGCGTAGCACGTCACTGTTAAGATCGAAGCTCAGGAGATCCTTGAGACCCTTCGAACGCTTCCTGAGTCGGATTGAGGCGAGCAATCTTTCACAGCTTTACTTTCCCATGGTAAGGCTCTCACGCAGCCTGCTTCAGAGCCAATGCCCAGCCTTGCAACTCCAACTGCAAGAAGCCATAGACCTTCTCAGAGTCTGGGAACCCTGCGCTCGGCTTCTTCAGCAGTGTCGAGTTGGATGGCAAGCAAAGGACTACCTGGAGCCTGGTCAGACACGAGAGAGAAAGCGTGCTCTGCAGCACTGCAGGACTGAATGAGCCTCGATTCGCACCGTGGTCGGTGCTCTGAACTCCACAGTCGCAGCATGCAGCACCACTGCTGCCTGCCAGGAATATGGATGCCTCGAACAAAGATCCACTCCGAAGCCTGTTGCTTGCCCTTCCGCTGGATGAGCAGCAGGTCCCCGTGGAGGCGCGCGAAGCAGCGCGCCGGCCAAAACATGCCTGCAAAAGATCTGGGCGTGCCAGGTCAGCTGGCTCTTCGGCTCTTGAAAAGGGAATTTAAAACAAAAAGTGTCAGTAGGTCTGGTTAGTCTGGTAATACCGGCCTCCGAGCTTGTAAGTCACCTCGCCACCGAGCGTTTCAATCGGCGCAAGCGCAGGTGTGACATTCATGCCACCCAAGTCTAGCGGTGGCACGGCCACCGCTGCAACCATGCTTGAAACTGGACTGAAACACTAGGTCGCAGCAGCTGGAAGAGATCAGAAACGCTGCGACAACATGACACACTGGGTCAAAGGGTCGAGCACACATCATGCTCGCATAGTCACAGGCGTCTGATGCTGGGGTGGAGCACTGAAGGAACTCGTGCACACGCGCGGCCTTGTCATTCCCTGATGACCTTCGAAGGGCTTCTCGGTTGTGTTGATGTGGTGCTGTTGAACAAGGCTGCCATCTTTCAGAACTTGAAAACACAAGACACATATGATATGCCCAGCCATAGCACAAAAACCTAAGAGAAAGGACCAGCGGGCGGGCAGAACCGCCAAATGGCGTTCCACACTGAAGCAAAGTGGCCAAACTGAAGCAAAGTGGCTCGAGAAGGAATTTCTGCCGCCAGTCGAAAAGCCTGCAAGGAATCCAAGAAATGAGATAACGATTCCGAAACACAGGGCTTCTTACCTTTCAACCAACTCCTCCGTCTTGGCATCGGAGACAACCTCCCGTGACGCTGCAAAGTGGGCATCCGACCGACAAGGCACGAAGGCATGGAATTTCTGCAGCAACTGAGCCGTTCGGCGGTGTTGCCAGGGATGTTGGCAACCTTGCTGCAGAAGTCCGTACGTTCCACGAAAATGCACTGCACCGGAGCAACATGTGCCGACAGCTCCCAAAGCTTACCAAGACACTGCAAATCGCAACGGGTAGTTCGCAGCAGCTGCCTGTCAGAAGTGCTCCGCAGGACCCTCGTACCCGGCTGAGGGATGACAAAGAAAGCAAACAGGTATTCAAAACAACAAATGTCTGAAATCAACAACAAAAATCTAAATCAACAAACCATAATATTATATCTGCTCGAAAGTATATTCAAGATTACCCATTTTCTGATCAGAACAAAATCAAGCGGGTATCAAAAAAACCAACAGGGACCAGGTTTCTGCGAACCAGCGTCGGAGCATTGTGGGGCGTATGTATGTCTGCATGCATATACGTATGATGTATCTTCCTTCCTTCCTTCCTTCCTTCCTCCCTTCCTCCCTTCC